TATTTTCAGTAGGTGAAGTAGGTTGAGGGGTAACTAATTGTGGTTCCGGTCGAGGTGAAGATACCCCGAACAAATCCCTCAAAGTATTGTTTTCCATAGTAGCAAGTGACAATAAATTTTAGCACATAGCGGTAATTTTTCCTTACTGATTTCCACTTACTAAGAGCGCTTCACTCCCTGGAACGGTGTCAGAAAAGAGCCTTGATGACCCACAAGTAAGGGGGGTCAATCATAGTCCTTTCTATAAGTAAGAGTGTCGAACCCAACGAGGAGCAGAAGGAAATGACAAGCGGTTTTTAGTAAGGTAATGTCTGCAAGCATTGAAATTATAACTAACGAGTAGTCTGATAGCAAGATAATTTGTAACGAGCAAGTAACGGTAATAGTAACAAAAGTGTAGCAAGGTAGCCCAATCCTTTTGAGGCAAAGGACAGGCAAAAACGTTCTCTTATGATAAGCAAAGCGTTCTTGAGGGTACATGGGAATTTCATCTAGTCACTTCCATCATGTTGGTTATTTGTGTTTGCTACTTTGATAATTTGATATGTGGGTGGACCAGTGATTAGGTGTTGTTCTTACTTGAACAAACCTCCTACTTATGATTAACCCCCTCAAAAGCATTTGCAACTATGAGAAAAGTATTAAGAATAATTCTAACCATAGCATTAAACTCTTGGATCCAAATCAGCCCCTTACGGAATAGCGCATAAACTAGGGTTTAAGCTTCTGTCACTCTCGCAACCCATCATATAATAACTACTCCACAATGCATTCCCTTAGTCCCAAGTATGGTGAAGTTTCATGTAGTCGACGTTCACATGACACCACTAAGGGAATCACAACATACATATCATCAAAATATCGAACACATATCAAGTTCACATGATTACTTGCAACAAGATTTCTCCCGTGACCTCAAGAACAAAAGTAACTACTACAAATGATAATCATGCTCAAGATTAGAGAGGTATTAAATAGCATAATGGATCTGAACATATAATCTTCCACCAAATAAACCATATAGTAATGAACTGCAAGATGTAATCAACACTACTAGTCACCCACAAGTACCAATCTATTGTTCTGGTACAAATATTAAACACAAGAGATGAACTAGGGTTTGAGAGCAAATGGCATTGTTGAAGATGTTGATGGATATTGCCCACCCCAAGATGGGATAGTTGTTGGTGATGATGATGACGATGCTTTCCCCCTACGGAGGTAAGTTCCCCCGGCAGAATCGCTCCGCTGGAGGGCAAAAGTGCTCCTGCCCAAGTTCCGCCTCGAGACGGTGGCGCTTCATTCCAAAAGTCCTCTCCTAATTTATTTTTCTAGGTCAAAATGACTTATATACCAGAAGAGGGGCACCGGAGGTGGGCCGAGGAGGGCACAACCCACCAGGACACGTCTGGGCTCCCTGGCGCGCCCAAGTGGGTTGTGCCCACCTGGTGGGCCCCCTCTGGTAGTTATTTGCTCCAATAATTCTTATTTATTCCATAAAAATTCTTCGTGAAGTTTCAGCTCATTTGGAGCTGTGCAGAATAGGTAGCCCGATGTAGCTTTTTCAGGTTCAGATTTCCAGGTGCTGGAATTCTCCCTCTTTGTGTGAACCTTGCATATTGTGAGAGAAAGGCATTAGAATTACTCTAAAAAGAATTATTATGCATAAAAAGATTATAAATAACAGTAGGAAAACATGTTGCAAAATGGACGTATCATACCTCCTTGAAACACATCTTTTCTGTGCCGATGGCTTCGCCCTCCCTCCCTCTTTCCGCAAGTTGCTCCACGCCACGAGGCGATCCTTCGTTCTCTACTCCAACACCGCTTAGCTCTAGTGCTATTAAAGTATCAATCTTGGATGTTTTATATACATTTACAAGCAACTTTATATCATTTTTTGGGACTAACTTATTAACCTAGTGCCCAGTGCTAGTTGTTGTTTTTGGTTTTGCAGAATATCAGTACCAAACGAAGTCCAAATGCCACGAAACTTTTTGGAGATTTTTTTATGGACATGGAACACTAGAAGCTTCGGGAGAGGACCAGATGTGGGAGCATGGGACCACCACCCACCAGGGCGCGCCCAGGGGGGTCGGCACGCCCTGATGGGTGGTGGGGCCCCTGAGGCTCCGTTTGACCTAATCCCACCTCTATAACCCATAAATCAAAAAACCCTCGGGGGAGTCCACGAAATACTTTTTTCACCGTCGCAAGCCTTTGTTCTCGAGAGATCCCATCTGAAGGCCTTCTCCGGTACTCCGCCGGAGGGGGAAACGATCACAAAGGGGTTCTTCATCAACCTTTTTGCCTCTCTGATGATGCGTGAGTAGTTTACCACAGACCCACGGGTCCATAGTTAGTAGCTAGATGACTTCTTCTATCTTGATGCTCTTCAATACAATGTTCTCCTTGATGTTCTTGGAGTTATATCCGATATAATTCCCTTTTGCGGTTTGTTTGCAAAGATCCAATGAATTGTGAGTTTATGATCAGATCTATCCATGAATATTATTTGGGTTTGAACTCTTTTATGCATGATTAATATAGCCTCGTATTTCTTCTCTGATTTATTGGTTTGGTTTGGCAAACTAGATTGATTTATCTTGCCATGGGAAGAGGTGCTTTGTGATGGGTTCGATCTTGCGATGCTCAATCTCAGTGACAGAAAGAGACATGGCACGCATGTATCGTTGCTATTAAGGGTACCAAGATGGGGTTTATTCATACGTGAGTTTATCTTGTCCACATCATGTCATCTTGCCTAATGCATTACTCCGTTTTTTCATGAACTTAATACACTAGATGCATGTTGGATAGCGGTCGATGTGTGGAGTAATAGTAGTAGATGCATAATCGCTTCGGTCTACTAATCTTGGACGTGACCCCTATGTATGATCATTTCCTTGGATATCGTCATAATTATTTGATTTTCTATCAATTGCTCAACAGTAATTTGTTTACCCACCGTATGTTATTTTCTCAAGAGAAGTCTCTAATGAAAACTATGGCCCCCGGGTCTATCTTTTATCATATAAAATCCTAAAAATACCTTGCTGCAATTTTCTTTTATTTATTTTATTTTGTAGTTTAGTTAGATCTATTTATCAAATCCTATACAACTTAATCTTTCTCAATTCCGTTGAGGGATTGACAACCCCTCTACGCGTTGAGTTGCAAATATTTGTTGTTTGTGTGCAGGTGTTGTTTACTACATAGTGTCGCTTGGTTCTCCTACTGGATTGATAACCTTGGTTTCACAACTGAGAGAAATATTTATCTCTACCGTACTGCATCATCCTCTCTTCTTCGGGAAAATCCCAACGCAGCTCACAAGTAGCAGATACCGGCAGAAAGGTCGTCCGTTTGATCTTTCTTCGAGGGAAAATTCTCATGGTTGGGAGGTTGTAAATCCTAGATGTTGGAATCTGCATCAATGATGTACGCCTCAAGCTGGCAATGGTTAACCTTACTCACATCTCCGTGGGTAATTGCTCTATGAGGGGACGGGGATTGCGAGTTTGAATGCCCACGGGAAAGCTGGTGGGTCAAATATCTTACTCAGCGCGCAACACAGGGATGTGGATGGGATATCATTACTCGTGCCCGTTAACCACCTTACCCGTGAAGGCCTTACAGATGGGCTCTAAAATTAGTAGACCCCATGTAATTCCTGCCCTTACCCACTCAAATTTCCAACCATGTAATTCCCACCCTTTGGCCAAAAAGCATAAGAAAACCACAACCTAGCCACATCATATTATTTATTATGCCAAAATGCTATTTTTTCTACTGAAAAGTCATCATTGGTTTTTGTTGATTGCGTGTATGGGTTTCTTCATTGGATAAAAAATGATGGGGATGGGGATGAGAATATTTTTATCCCCGCAGACAGGTATGGGGATGAGGACGGGCATGAAAAGGCTGTCGCGGGGACGGGGATGAGAGTCCAATACCCACCTGGGCAATCCCCATTGCCAGCCTGATGTACGCCGACTCTACCGCTTCGCACACACCTAGAATAATTAGCCACCAATGTCATCACAGCACAGCCAAGGCCACCGCTGACAAGGGCAATCGGTCACACACCAGCACTATTGAAATATTGTTTCATCCCGTAGCAACGCATGAATATTTTGCTAGTTTATTAATCATAAATACATGTTATAGCTTAATATCTATGGAATGAATCAAATCAATTTTATTATTTTCATGTCACATCATTTCGTGCATGTTATCCAAGCAAATAGCATCGTTGGGGCCCTATTGTACATAGACAAATTAAGCAGAATAAGTCGATAAATTAAGCAGACGCGAGCCTGAACTATTTAGGGGTGACCGTCTGCATTTGCTTTCTGTCTTTTGAACTTGTTCATGGTTAGTCTCTGAAAAATTTTGTGCAAGCCGATTTTCTAAGCCATTAGATTAAGATCCAACAATTGTCCTTCTTTCTTCTTCCTCGAGTTTTCTTCCACCTTCAGTTGTTGTTCTTCTCATAAAATCGACTTAGCTAAATTACAAATTCAGTCAACTTACATAATTATTATGAATTATTACCGTTTACTCTGAAGCCCACTCATGGAATATGACGTCCTTGCACACGATTGACGCACGCACTGACGTAAATTTGTATCTTTTCTTCTTGTTTTCTATTCCTTGGTACACAATGACTTGGCAAATCGTGACCGATTCTACCGTTCGCCACTATCCTGAAGCGCTAGCTGGTGCCATCCCACGAAACGGGGTAGCCAAGGAAAACGAAAACAGTAATTGGCCCCACCTGAACGCAGCAGTGGTTTTCATTTTTTGCAGATATTTTGATGGAATTCACTGATTTTTTTTTCAAATATGTAACTGAATTCAAGTGAATATTTCGGTCATTTGGACGAAATAGAGACTGAAATAACTGAAATTCACTGTGATTTCGGTTGGTACTAAAATTTTCGTGAAACTGAAATTGAAAACCAGCACACGTCGGCTTAATTTCTACTGAAACCATACTATCTTGAACTTGAAACACTAATAAGGAACTCGTCCACGAAGGCCTGTATGTGGCGGTCCGACGACCCGCCGGGCGCCACGGCCGCCCTCGCCACCGCGCTCCACGCCCTGGCGTTGTCGAGCATCGCGCCGGCGTCGGGCCCAGCCACAACGTTCTCCAAGGCATCGCGCACGGCGTCCCGCCGCAGCGGCGCGCGGACGCGCACGCCCATCTTGAGCTCCTCAACCAGATACTTAGCGTCCGTGCACTGGTCGCCCCACATCGGGAAGGCCGCCACGGGGACCCCCGCGGCGAGCGTCTCCAGCGTAGAGTTCCAGCCGCAGTGCGTGAGGTAGCACGCCGTGGACGGGTGCGCGAGCACGAGGTCCTGCGGGCTCCACGGCACAACCATGCCGCGCCCGGCGACGGAGTTCAGGTAACCCTCCGGGAGCAACGCGCTGTTGTCCGGCCGAACTACCCACAGGAAGGGGCGGCCGGTGGACGCGAGCCCGTGCGCCATCTCGGCCAGCTCCTCGGCGGACAGCACCGCCATGCTGCCGAGAGACGCGTACACGACGGAGCGCGGCGCCTGCGTGTCCAGCCACCCCACGCACTCGTCCGCCGGCTTCATCATGTCGCCGCGCACGGCGGCCTCCTCCTCCAGCTCGACGAGTGGACCGACGGGGATGAGCAGGGGAGGCCGCGGCGAGACGCTCTGGAGAGAGTTGACCACGTCGCGCTCCAGCTCGGAGAAGGAGTTGACGAACACCCACGACGGCTTGTGGATGGCGCGGAACTGCCTCAGTATCGCCTCGGTGAAGAGCTTGTAGCAGTAGGGGTTCGACGGCAACAGGAACGACGGCACGTCGGTGACAGACAGCGCCGGGAGTCCCGGGAGCTTGACTCGAGCGTCGAGGTCGTCCTCGGCCGGGAGGTCCAAGAGCCCGTGCACGTGGTGGTAGTAGAGCGAGAATACCGCGCAGGACTGCACCCAGAGCACCGCATAGGGGATGCCGGCGGCTTCGGCGACGTCCATCGCCCACGGGATGAACGGGTTCACGACGACGCACGCGACAGGCCGTCCCGCCTCCTCCTGGCGCCTCAGCAGCTTCGCGAACGCCGGCGGCCCGGCCGTCTCCAGGTGCGTCATCAGGTCGTTGAACTTCAGCTCCTCCTTCCCGTCGAAATGGTCGTCTAGGAACTCGAACCGGATGCGGCCAAGGCCGAGCGACACGCCGTCGCCGCCATCTTCCACCCTGGAGGAGGCTGTGATCTTCGCTCCAACATCGGAGGTCGATGAGAAGGTGATCAAGAGACCCTTGGCCGCGAGGCGCTTGCCCAGGCGCAGCATGGGGTTGACGTTGCCCTGCGACGGGTTGCATATGATGAGCAAGTGGGCCGCAGACAAGGTCGCCGCCGCCGTGACCGTGGCCGCGGCCTCCTCACCCATGGCCATGGCCTGTGATCGAGATGTCGTCTTCTCTTCTTGCTTGATCCTGTGAGGAGCTGGCTAAAGTCCACTGGTAATCAGATGTGGACCGGGTACTCTTTTATTAGGGACGGCAGCGCGATCAACGTTGCGTGACACATGGGGTACGAACGACTGGCTGTCTCAATACGACAAGCCTGACCACCTTAGCTTTGTCAATCTAAACATGATATCAACTCAATATCTGGAAGATGCTCATAAAAATAGAATATGTGTACGTATTTATAAATGGGTGTATATATGTTTGTACTGTGTTAACAAAAAGGACAAGCCTGACCACGCCGATGGCACGCAGTGCTGCAGACGGGCTAGCTGGATGATACTTTGGCGCAAGACGACACTGTTCAAGCAGTACGGTGGGGAGTTAATTGCAGGGAAGTATCACACTTGGGGCAGTTGTAACAGATCAGTACCACTATTCAGTTTTTTGGCAAATCAGTACCACGTTTGAGGCTAGTCGTTGCAATACGGGCTAAGCCGCGTATAACTCTGTATTGACGCTGTATCTGACAACCCGGCCCCACCAGTCAGTTGACAAGCCGCCGAACTGGTGCGTCGCTCGGGTGGCTAGGACGGACCCGGCTCGGTCGGTCTTGTCTCGGTCGAACCCTAGCAGTTCTCTCCTCTCCCTCTCCCTCTCCCTATCCTCGCGATGGCTAGTCCGGGTGGCGGCGCCGGCGGCTGTGGCGGCGGCGGCTCTGGCGGTGGCCGGAGCAGCGGTGGCATTGTGGGCGGGTACGGAGACCTCCCCGGACTCGCGAGCGATGCGCACAGAGGAATCGAAGTCAACGGCGAGGAGTCCAGTTCGTCAGTTTACTACAGCGACGACGACGAGGGCATGGAGGTGCCGTTGTCCATGGAGCAGCGACTGCGGCTGGCTGAGATCTGGGTGGCCAACCCTACCACGAGCCATCACTGGAGCCATGGATTGGGTGGCCTACTGTAAGTGCTTTTTCCTCTCCCTCTCTACTCTCTCATTTGTGCCATGATTCGGGCTAGGGTTAGGTTTACTGAAATTTTGATGTCCATTGTAGTTTGGATGATGCTGTTTGGGATGTTAGGATTCACTTCGATGCTCAGCATAATTTGGATAGGAAGATATGCAACTCAGATGTCACATATTTGAATTTGTATGAACTGATGCGAACACAAGGATTTAACTTCAGTGATGAATTGTACCACATGGGGAATACAGGCATAGGAGTGCAGAGAGAGCATGCCCTAGATTTGATAGACACAAACATCAAGTTGCAGAAAATTAAGAAGCAGAATGAGGACAGTTTAGTTCTGAACTTGTTAGTCAGGGCCACAACATTTGTCAGTACTGCATGTCATGTTAGTGAGGAAAAATTAGCCACAGTTCTATATGAAGAACCTGTTGTGTATGATCTAAGAGATCCTCCTGTGCTTGTTGTTAATGATCATGGTGTTGTTTATGAGAGTCAAAGCAGCAACAGTAATGCACTAGTACAACTTACTGGTATGTGCACACAAGAGAGCAGAAATGTCAACAAGAGGAAGCTCAAATCTGTGATGGAAGAATAGGAAGAGGAGGGATATAAGAGTAATGATGAATCTCAAGGGGCATATGACAGTGACAACAACCCTTTCTACATGAAGAAGTACATGATTGCTGAAGACACAGAGATAATAGAGAGAAAGAGGCTAGCAGATGTAGAACTAGAAGAGGATGCAGATTTAGATAAGGAACAACTACACTATGAGGGTGACACTGAGGTTGAGGAGTTGTTTGAGATTGAGGAGGATGAGGAGGAAGATTCTGAGAAGGAGAAGGAACCACCCATGAAAGCAGCTGGTAAAAAGAGGCAAAAGCTGTCAGTTAGGAGAGGGCCCACCACTAGGACACATTCTAATGTGTTAGAGGACTTGAAACCAGATTTCAGACCATCATCAGATGAAGAAGATACTGGGTTGCTATTGGATAGTGAAGATGATGAATTTGAGCCACTAGCATTTGTCCTACCAAAAGGAAGGAATAGTAGGGCCATGAAAAGGCCAGCAAGGATATGGTACAATGAAAAACTGGAGCAACCGCATCAACAGTTATGTATGCACATGTGTTTCAAAAACCAGCAGCAATTTAGAGATGCTCTGTTGAGCTTGCACATTACACATGCCAGAAATTTTAGGTATCATAGAAACTCAGACAAAAGGATAATTGTTGAATGCAAACAAGAGCATTGTCAGTTCTTCATTGTTGAATGCAATTAACACCTATATTGCATTTGTAAGACCACCTTAGCTTTGTCAATCTAAACATGATATCAACTCAATATCTCGAAGATGCTCATAAAAATAGAATATGTGTACGTATTTATAAATGGGTGTATATATGTTTGTACTGTGTTAACAAAAAGGACAAGCCTGACCACGCCGATGGCACGCAGTGCTGCAGACGGGCTAGCTGGATGATACTTTGGCGCAAGACGACACTGTTCAAGCAGTACGGTGGGGAGTTAATTGCAGGGAAGTATCACACTTGGGGCAGTTGTAACAGATCAGTACCACTATTCAGTTTTTTGGCAAATCAGTACCACGTTTGAGGCTAGTCGTTGCAATACGGGCTAAGCCGCGTATAACTCTGTATTGACGCTGTATCTGACAACCCGGCCCCACTAGTCAGTTGACAAGCCGCCGAACCGGTGCGTCGCTCGGGTGGCTAGGACGGACCCGGCTCGGTCGGTCTTGTCTCCGTCGAACCCTAGCAGTTCTCTCCTCTCCCTCTCCCTCTCCCTATCCTCGCGATGGCTAGTCCCGGTGGCGGCGGCGGCGGCTGTGGCGGCGGCGGCTCTGGCGGTGGCCGGAGCAGCGGTGGCATTGTGGGCGGGTACGGAGACCTCCCCGGACTCGCGAGCGATGCGCACAGAGGAATCGAAGTCAACGGCGAGGAGTCCAGTTCGTCAGTTTACTACAGCGACGACGACGAGGGCATGGAGGCGCCGTTGTCCATGGAGCAGCGACTGCGGCTGGCTGAGATCTGGGTGGCCAACCCTACCACGAGCCATCACTGGAGCCATGGATTGGGTGGCCTACTGTAAGTGCTTTTTCCTCTCCCTCTCTACTCTCTCATTTGTGCCATGATTCGGGCTAGGGTTGTCAATAAAAAATGAGGTTGCAGCACACTTGCCCTAGCACTATAGAGACATCAAGGGTTAGTGCAAAGTGGCTTGCATAGACATATGAGTCACTGTTTAGGTCTGATCCAAACACAAGTATTATGACTCTGATTGACAACTGCAATGAGAAGTATGGTGTTGATGTGCCCAAGCACATGGCCTATAGGGCCAAAAGCCTTGCTGTAGAGGCTATTTTAGGAGAGCACAAGAAACAGTATCCCAGGCTGAGGGACTATGCTCAAGCAATCATGGATACAAACCCTGGGAGTAGAGTTATAGTTACAACTATAACCCCAAAACCTACTACAAAAATACCACATCCAGGACCAAGGTTTTATGCTATGTTCTTCTGCATCAATGGAGCAAGGGAGGGCTTTCTCAGTGGATGCAGACCATTCATAGGTTAGTGACCTGTTTTATATGCTTCATATGCTTTATTTTAGAGCTTTATTTAGTAGGTTAGTTACATGTATAGCTTAAGTATGTTTAGTAGTGTTATATAGTGAATAAACTAGCTCCTTGCTTTTATATGACATATATAGAATTGTGTATAAATTTTTGTAGATGACATATATAGAATAGTTTGATAGTTTCATATAGTTACTGAATTTGGTCTTACAAATGCAATATAGGTGTTGATGGCTGCTTTATTAAGCTCACCACTGGAGCTCAAATACTTGCTGCCACTAGCAGAGATGGCAACAACAACATTTTCCCACTGGCATTTGGTATTGTTGGACAAGAGGATACATAAAATTGGTGTTGGTTTCTGCACCGACTGAACATATGTCTAGGAGGAGAAGTTGGACAATTTGGTCCTTATACAACCATGTCTGATAGATAGAAGCGATGAATGCATCCTCTTGTTTATCTTAATGCAAATTTGGTCCTTATACTATGATGTCAGTAGCTTAGTATGATATGCTATGTCAACAGGGCCTACTAAATGCAATTAATCAAGTATTTCCAAACTGCCACCAATGATTTTGCCTTAGACACTTGTATGCAAACTTCCAGAATGTTGGGTTTAGGGGAGAAGATCTTAAGAAATGCATGTATAATGCTAGTTATGCTTATAACCAACACAAGTTTGACATTGCAATGAATGATCTAAAAATGAGAGTGAGGAAGCTTGGAAGTGGCTGAGTGGAATACCTGCAAGATTCTGGGCTAGGCATGCTTTTGACACAAACTGTAAGACAGACTTTGTTGTTAACAACCTATCTGAGGTGTTCAACAAGTACATCCTTGATTTTAGGAAAAAACCTACTATGACTATGGTTGATGGTATTAATAATAAGCAGATGGTGAGGTGGCATAGGAATAGATAGAGTGGAAAGGCAGCTCTGTGGGAGATCACACCCAATTATGCTGAGAAGTTAGAGGTGGAAAAGGAAAGGGCCAGATTCTGTAAACCCATTCAAGCTGGTGTTAATCTATGGCAAGTAACCAGTGGGCAGCAACCACATGCTATCAACTTGGAACTTCATACATGTGGTTGCAGAAAGTGGGACCTGAGTGGCACACCATGCAACCATGCAATGTCAGCAATTAACAAGGCAAAAAGGTTTCCAGAGGACTATGTGTGCAAATTCTTCAAATAACCATTTTACCTAGCAGCATATGAACCAATGATATATCATGTTCCTCGTGAACATGATTGGACAAAGTCAACAGGACCAGACATAGAGCCACCTAAATTTCATGTGAAGAATGGAAGAAAGAAAGAAAAGAGGATAAAGTAAAGGGCAGATTTGAGGTTCCAAAGCCAAAGGAGAGTTCAAGAATGGCCACTATAACATGCAGCAACTGTGGGCTGCAAGGCCATAG